ATAAAAATTTTTCATAAAAAACACATTAATATTAAAAAATTTATTTTTATCTAATAATTTATATTATATAATTCAGATTATAAATATTTTTTTTTTAAAATTTTAAATGTAATGCAAAAACAAGTACAAAAATATATAGTGCAAATAACAACAATAAGTACAAGTACATATGCACTAAAACACACAAACCCACAGTAACTTCAAAGTTGCATTCTGGGATTTCAGAATCCAAAGGTCTGTTTGATTAACAAGAAGTAATTTTATATTAAAAAATATTTTTCGCAAAATTTTCTTCTAAAGTTATTTTTTTGTTGTTGGAAACATCATAGAAAATTTTTACTGAAAATTTTTTTTCTATTGTTTGATTACCAAAGGAAATCATACTTTCCCAAAATTGAGGGACAAAAGGATTAAATTGCAAAAATAAAAACTGTTAAAAACAAATTATATATCCTTTAATGTTTTGCTAATTAATTAAAAAATAAAAATAAAAATAAAAGATTATTAGACCATTCTACTTTATCAGGATCATCATCTCCGAGGTCAAACAAAATATCATCTCTTGGCTTCCCCTTGTCTGTTAAGGCATCAGTGAACTCCTTTCTCTATTATTGTTATTATTTTTTTGTTTTCAATTTTCTACACTTCCAACAATGCCGATCATCTTCTTAAGAAGTGATCATCCACCGATGAAAGACAATTCGTTCTATAGCAAATTCCAAGATCGGAAAATAACTTCTAAAAATTTTTATCTGAAAGTTGTTTTTTGTAAATTATAGTTAACATTTTGTTGATTAAAATGACTTTCTGTTATTTGATTTTTTGTAATTTTTCAAACGCAAGAAAATGTAAAAATTAATTTTTGAAAGTGATTTTCCATGATCCAAATAAACGCTAAATTTTTAACCGATTAACCTAATGCTTCATTAAAAAAAATTATAATTATAATTAATTCTTCAATATTTTAAAACTTTTTTACAGAACTTTTGAAGATCCATTTAGAACAGCGGGGCGGGCCGACATAGGCCCTGGGTTGGGCACAGGCCCCTATCCTGGGCCTCAAGAAAAAAATTCGTAAAAGAAAGCCCACGAAGAAAATGGCCAACAAACTCCTTGGCAGCGTAAGCTGCTTGAGTTGAGCCTGCTGACGTATCGTGCAAGAGAAAAATCAATTTAAAATCAGATAAAAAAAGAAAAAGGAAAAATATATACTCTTTATTTATTTTTAATAGTGATGGTTTAATTTTTTTACTTTTTAGGCTTGAATTTTAAATAAAATTTTAATATATTATATAAATAATAATTAAAAAAATTTAATTAAATAAAAATACTTAATAAGAATTTTATGTATGTAAAAAAACTTTTTAATTGTCATTCACATAAATGGTTAAATTTCCATTTAAAATTTATCTTTTAAAAAATAAAAATCAAATTAAATCTAATAAAAATAGATTAAGAAAGTATTAATG